CACACACACACACACACACACACACACACACACACACACACGCACACGCACACGCACACGCACACACGCACACCCTCACCAGGTCATTCATGTTGGCTTTGCTTGAAGGGTGGATGTCTTCCAGGAACTCCAGCAGGTAGAAGGTATAACGGTCCATCAAATGGACTCCGATGGCCAAATCTGGCTGGTGCTAGAAAAGGAAAAGGAGAAGAAGAAAATACAAGAATAACAAAAAGTCAATATCCAACAGCACTTTATCTGCACAGGTGCCGTTTTCCTTACCTGTCTTTAAGACACTGACACACATGTGACATCCACTACAAACGATTCCTTACCACACAAATATGTGTTGTTTCAATGCACTATTATTTGTGAGGTTTTAGTTCTTCTAATAATAATAATAATAATAATAATAATAATGAGTGACTGCCATCAACTCACACTACCCAGTGGTTTAAAGAACAGTGCTTATTTCATATTCACAGATGGTGTCGGATGAAATAAATAGCACCAACAGTCATTTCTGGGTAATACCAACGACATCAAAAGAAACAATATTTTGACAACTTCTTTTCCACCTATGCCACTTTTGCCTAACCCCAAATCAGTGAGGCAAAGCGTGTAATGCCAAGTGACACGGGTGTCATTCTGTAAACACAGTTGTTTTTTTTTTTAAGGGATTTTGACACTTTTGACAATATTTAAATATTTGCAGTAATACAAACTAGATGTCTGTGGTGAAATTCCCAGAAAAAATATGCCGTATTACAGTTTTTCTCCGTTGTACAGACAAACATTTTGAACAATTTCCACATTTCCACAAACTTGAAGCTCATGTATCAACAGAAAGACTCCACACTGCTAAACTAAGAGCATAATTCTATTGTTTTCTCTCAAATAGAAATTATAAACCACGTTTGTATTGCAGTAAATGGTTCTAATTTGTTTATCTATTTATAGTATATATTTATTAAGTTATACACTGCTGGGTAGCTTGTGAATAAAGACTTATTGTCCTTATTTAAATGTTTTTTATATTTTGTATTACTTGTTTATGAGTTGGTTGAAAATTCTTAGCCGAGTGACTTTTTAATGTTTAAGACGAGGTCATTTTTAAAACAAGGAACAACATGAAGATGAATGTCCCAGGTACAAAGCTGGCACCAGAAACGATCCACGACGAAGAAATGGAAATAAAGGACTTGTATTGCAGTGTAGTGTCCTCGTACTATATACAAGTGTACAGTACGTCGGACACTGCTTCTGTTCGTTAGTCACATAAGTGTAAGTTGCAGGTCAAGAAAAGACTTCTTATATTCAAATTTACAGAAATGTGACTCTTGTCTGGAGAAGGAGAGTCAGAAGGAGAATGAGTCTCCAGCTGCAATGTGCTCTATCAAACCACACTGCTTATTAGAAATCGTGACAAACTGATTGATGATTTTTAATTTTAAAAATGTCCTCGATGTATGCGAGGGCAGCAGCCAACTCACTGACAGCGAATCCTCCCCAACTTGACTGCTGGCCAAGGCCATGAGGTTTGGGGAGTAGAACCTCTCGTACATGGAGGCGCCCTGGCAGGTGTCAATGATGAAGAGCAGCTCGTTGTACCTGGTGACACACACACACACACACACACACACACACACACACACACACACACA